AGGACTTAGGCATTAATGGGCATGACGCGATGATTGTGCCGATGACAAGCAACAGGAATCGACCTTGAACCGAATTAGCAGACGCAATTAGCAACATTAGTCTTGTTTTCAGCCTTTCCCTATCCGACTTATCTGGAATTCTTATGGTAAGGTGGCTTTCTAGTGTCATGAATTGAAAGCATCCTCTGGTGAAACATCCATTTTCGTTTTTAGCCAGAGAAGTGAAAAAAGAGTGCGTGGAAAATGAAAAACAGAGATACTAAAGTTGTTGGTTTTTATTTAGTTCAGATGAATGTGATATCCAACTGTTGTTGCCTCACCTCTGTTCCTACGTGATTTCAACACCAACCCCATGATGCCCACTCTTTGGAGCCAGCCTTCCTAAAAGTTGGTCAGATTTCACCCAAACTTTATCCGCAATCATAATTTCATGTCAAATGTCGCCGAAAATAGTATTCCTTAACATATAACTAACTTTTCACGTGCATCTTTACATTATTATATTACTATTATTACATTTAGTCTATTTTTTTTTCTTTTTTGAGCAAAAACTTCCACATTCTTCTAGTTGATTGTCTGTCCTCGGTTTCAGCATCTCAGGTTGTGTTCTTCCCAGTATAGGAAGAACACAATACTTCCACAAGTTCCGTTCCCGACCCCGGCACACTTCCACGATTTTCCCTCCAAAGCATAAATGGACCGCGAAGCTTCTCAGGAGCTGACGATCAGCCAACGTAGTCCCGCGGCGTGATGTCTGCCTCTCTTAAAGCTTAAAGGTACTCCCCATCATTACTGCCGGAGGAAAAAATCAAGTAGGCCCTATGGCTTTTGTCGTTTTATACGGGCATGCACTGTTTTATTTAAAATTCCTATACCCATAGCCTATTTATTTGAAAAAAAAATTCTCGTCAAATGCTGGGAGAAGCATCACACGCTATCCCTCGTTTCCACTTTAGATCACTGCGTCAGATTCTTCGATTTTTCCTTCTACAAAAATGTCCGACAAGGGAAGGGTTGTTATTTTTGTCAATATGGAAAGGTAAGAATAGCGCCACTTTTCTGTAATTGCTTTTAAAAGAACTAGATCTGTCAGTAAAGCCGATGACAGATTGATGACCATTTCTAAGCTTGTTCTTCGCGAGAACAATGGAGGAATCGTGGACATGGCTATTTTGGCGGATTGTAAGTCTTTGATGCATCACATCTGTATCATACGTATAAGATGGCAGCTTGCTCAATATTCAGTTCGAAAGAAATCACTATGGCTCGTTCATCAAGGTTTCGAGCGAAGTAGACAGACTGTCTCCAAGAGAACTCCTGAAGACGAACTGCTGCAGGGTCAGTGCCCTGAATGGTCACTCTCATTCCAGCCTGCCGTCCTAGTTTGTTTGTTTTTCCGGTAGATGCGCTTTTTTTCTTTTTAGAAAGAGACGGCCTGGTGAAGTCTCTTTGTTCAAATTTTGTTGATGTGTCCGCATAAATGAAGCCGAAAAGTTTCTCGAGGGAAGAACTTCATGGAGAGTTTTGATCTTATTATTGGGACAAATAGGGCCTAAGGTGTCGCCTTACAAAAAGCACGAACTAGGCCTATGCACATGAGCAAGGATATGACTATTGCACCCGTGTGTGAGGGTGCAAGTGTGCGATTCCTTCAGATCGTACATTCATACTGCGTAACCACAGCCCTGTCAAAAACTGGCGGGAAAATGCAGACAACACATTCAGACATCGCAAGATGAAGTAACCGTTTGAGAACCGCGGGCCGCATCTTTAATGTGAACTTTGCAAAAGGTCTCTGGTGAGCCGGGTGGTCTTCAACTGTCATTGATGCATCGCCGGCCCCACTGACAAATTCGATATTGTACGCCGCGATTCACACGCTGGTTGACGGTCGAGAGAGACAAACAGGGTAGCCCTTTCAGTTTAAAGCCCAGAATAATCAGAACGATAATTCATTTTCAAGCTTAGCGAAATTGATATTAATGATGTTTTTTACTTGTGTATAAAACGTGTAACGTGTATATGCAAGTCATGTATGTTCAAAATTCATTTTGATATAATTATTTGAATTAGCTGAAGTTGTCGGCTACTGCTTCTCAGACACGAAGTTGAAATTGTAATCACACTGTTGAACACTTAATTTGAATTGAATTTGAGGGGTGCCTTTGCGGACAAGTTTCGACTTGTTTTTTCATTTTCACAGTTCTGGTATATATAACTCCGTATCCGAGCGAAGAGGCGTTTTAATTAAGCACTGTGGAAGCCAAATTAAACTGACATTGGCTTTGGAAATTTGGGGTTTTGGAATGCGTTATCAAAACACGACGACTTGTGTTTTGTAACAATCATGAGCCTGTAACGGTATTGACTTAAAAACATCTCTAAATGTGTGAAGTATTAAAGCCGAGTCAAATGATGTCCAAGTTCATGTTAATAAGGCATTAGTCCGGTTGACTTTTGGACACGTAGTTTTGATGACGACTCTTTTCTTACTGGCGCAAGATCGTCCATAATTTCATGACGCAAACTGCGCCTCAGCGTTAGTCCGTTTGTTTGGGGCAAGTCGTGATTGAATCTGTTGGCATCTGTTGGCATGGAAATGTTCCTTGAAATTGAGATAGCATAGCTTTGCCACAGTGATGTAATTATGTTAACCTTGTCGAGGTGTCCAGCGAAGTTTAGGGAGAGTATTACATTTTCCCCTCTCTTTTTTAAACTAAAATATATGTTTATTATAATGTCGGGCATTGCTACTTAAAAGGTCAGTGGTATGACATCTGCATTGTTTGTTGACGACTATAATTTCCCAAGGAAGGCTTTGCTTCCAGCGGAGCTAATGGCGTTCCATCGGTAACGCCGTCGTCCAGCTGCTATCCAGGGGACGTGTTTTCCCGAAATCACATAAATATGCTTGCTTGTCATTGGTTCTTAATCTGTCTGATAGCTTGTCCTTGGTATGCAAATCGGTTGTTCGGTCAGCCTGTCCGTCTGTTATCTCGGTGCCCCTGACAATTAGTAAAAGCCCATTCTTCAAGAGGAACCAAAAAGGTGGGGCGTGGTGTTATTGATCGAAGTGAATGTTTCTCCGCAACCTTGAGCCTATAGTTTGAAAACGTAGTTTGTGCTTCGTCATTCATCTGTTGGAATTACTAAGCTGTTACTGAAACATCATTTCCCTTCGTCCGTCTCTGTGTCAGTGTGCTTACCTTAATCAAACCCCCTTTTTCTTGGTATCAGTAGGAACCTGTCAATGAATATGGTGGTCTGTTTGCTCGTCCTTTTTTGTGGATACATCTTGGCGGCCATCGACCGCCGTATCATCAGCCATCCAGCGTAGCCTGGCCGCAGGAAATGTGAACTAATTCAATAACGAGCAACCTTAATGTTCCTCTATACAGGAGTCAATTACACGTCTGCGTAAATCAATGTAGGTAATGCCCGGCAGGTAGTTTACGGACAAAACGTACCTACATCGCCCAAATTAATAAATCAATTATGGTGTCAGGGAGGATCTATCGATGGTGGGCTGGCCTTGCTGTTCAAGGCACAGCAAGAACCTGCTGAATAAAAAAATCTGAGAGAGAAACTAATCAGTTAAAATAATAGTTGGAAGTTGTTGTATGGAGGGTTCTGATTACCGGACTATACTATTGACAATATCTTGTCACGTGGTTCGATTTGCATACGTACTTTTTTGGATGTCATTGGTTCTTGTGGGAGAGGAGCTCCGGTGGTTGAAAACATGTCTATCCGGTGAATGGGCTTGGGTAAACAGCTGCCAACAAAATGTAGCCGAATAGGCACATTAATCTATCAGCTTCATCCTTGTCGATATGCAGTGCACTTGTGTTTGGATGCCGCCAACACCACGACAAACCAAATACAGACCATCAAAAAACTCTGGTCAACACATCACCTCCGTCTTCAGTGAAGTGTCAAGCTATTCAAATGAACTACAAAAGAAGCATACCTTTGCCATTGTTCACCATATTATTTTGATGATTGTGTATGGCGTGCAAAGTTAGCATTTAATCCAAGTATACAGATATCTCTATACCTAGACGTGCGAGGTTAACATTTAGTCCCAGAATAGAGATATCTCTATTAGGAATAGAGATATCTGCATGGGCCGATTAAATGTTAACTTTGCACGCCATACTTGTGACTGGTCTTGTGAATGGCCTTGTGAATTTCGCTGGGCTGTCTTTATAAGCTGGATGAGTTGAAGGGGGGGGGCTATTGTGTAACCAAGGCGGCTTCTCTCTTACCAGTAAAAAACTTGAAATTTCTCCCCATTTTCTCCCGGCCAGAGCCCCGCGGTTCCATTCCCTATTATTTGTACGACTTTTACGTGTATAAATAGTTTTAAAAGGTTGGGAGATACACGATGCAGAGCGTTAACGGTGTAGCGCAGAGCGAGTGAAAACACTGGCCGGGGTGTCTGTGATTGAAAGCCCCGTGTGCTTGTGGGGCCCGGACCGGTTCAGTACCGTCCCCGTCTACTCCCTGTCCGCTCGAGCGCGGAAAGGCGGGCGTTTTTATCGACCGCGCCGGGCCCGCTACTTCTCCTCAAATTTCATTGCGAAGAGTGGTTGTCACTCATCTCCGACTCGGCAACAGTCGACATATTGATGGCACGGCGCGTCATGTCGGAGCGCGTAACGGGGAGGCATTTCCAGTCATCAAGTTTTGAGGACCAAGGAGGAGGGGAAAATTTTCAAGATGTTTCCCAAAAGAAAACATAAAGGAGGGCTTTCGATTTCCTTGATGTTGGACACTCACTAGGTCCTCGTTTAAATGGGTCTCTAAGAAAGAGATAAACAAAGTCACAATTCCGAGGCCTGTGACACCTCCAATGCTCGGCTGTGTTACAAATCTCCAATGGCCTCTTACGAAACTCAGAGGACAAGATACTCTCCCGAGGTTGGGGAAAAGTTGGGCAATTAATCACCCTCCTTTTCCTCTCTCTCTCTCCCTCTTGATCTATTGCTCTTGTGCAGACGGAGAGGGGAAAGACAGTAACGGGTCCAAGAGACGCCGCAGCCGGACCAACTTTAACGGCTGGCAACTGGAGGAGCTGGAGAGGGCCTTCAATGAGAGTCACTATCCGGACATCTTCACGCGTGAGGCACTGGCGATGAGGCTGGACCTCGTGGAGTCCAGAGTACAGGTGAGATTGGACTGACTTTCATGCTGTCTTAGTCGTAGCCCCCTGACTACCCTGCCGTGATGATATAATAATACCCTGCATCAGTTTTTAGGTCAGATCAAAATAGACTGTGCGGCTCAGTCCAAGTCGGTTATTTTTCTGCAGCGGCACGCAGTTTTGACATTGCCAGGTTACAGTAAGTACCCGTAGCCTCAGATTCAGCTGCGCTGTCATCTCTTTGTGTTTTAATTAACAAGCAGAGAATAGCTTCTGGTTAATGTTTTCTCACAAAGAAGGTTAAAGCCGTGGTAACCTTCCCAGCCCTTTTTTTTTATTTGTTGTTGTTGTTTGTTTTGTTAAACACGTAATGATGCATTCATCTGGAAATGGTATCTTAATGAATGTAAGCCATTTTGTTGATCCTCATTCGCTTGACAAGTTGGTATCTCTATTCCAGTGGTTTATAGTTCCTATTTACATCATTCCCGTGCTTGCTGATCACAAAGGTCCTCATTTATTTAACCAAAAATACACCAGTTCCTGCCTCATCTACCTCTTTCTCTTCTTGTGAATAAAACGTAATACTCGATTGCTTTCAAAACACCACATTGAAGTTTGATCCTGTGACCATACATTTTTTATTTACAAGTTACATCTTTCAAAGAATTATTAAACAGACACGTCGTTCTTATCTCGCAGCACAGTCGGATATCCAATAGCTGTGTGTTCATTTAGTTCAAAAGCAATCTTAGGCACCCGACGACTCGGACACTATCACTTGCAGCGGTAGATAACTGACGCGAAATAGAATCGATAATCTTCCGTAATTATCTCTATAAAGCCTTGATGTCATCATTTAACTCTTCATGACGTACATGCCATGCTCTTTTTCTAAACTACCAATCTCACTTTATTTCGCCCAGTTATTTCCAAACAAGCTTTTTTCACTCACCTTACACAGCGAATGGAGCGCTCATTAATGTTTCCTTAAATCTGATCTCACACCGAATTATGAATTTTCATTAAATGTCGTTTGCAACATTAAGAAATGCTCATGCGCGTAATTGCTTTGTTGTATTAGAGGCACTTAACAATTTCTTCTCTCCATGAGCCAGTCATTTTTGATAACAATTTATTTGGCAGATTATGGGCAACACATTTCCATCGAAAGGATTCACCTAATGTCCCTGTGAGCGCACATTCAATTCGTCGAAATCTAAGATCACTCCTGGCTGGGATTGATTTAATCATGAAACTTGCAAGAACTTTCGCTACATTATCACGTATCCCTGGCATCTCGTTTGTCGAGAATGTCCACATTAGTGTGGCACGCGGTACAGGCTTCAGACATCGGGCAGCACATCCGTCATGATTGCGTGGCGCGATTTACGGTCTTCACTTGAAAGCCCCAAAACCACTCAGGGGCATAAATCCACATTCTGTGATAAAGTCCCGCTGTAATTCTGTCACCGCCTGAAAAACACACAATAATAAAACGACAATTACTTCGATCAGCGCCCGGTTGTTTTTACAACCCCTCTATTTGCCGATAAAAAAAGTCCTGCCGCATCCCTGCCTTTCTCTTCGAGCGAGACCATCGACTTGCGTTGACCACCCGGTCCAGATGAAGTATGGATCGCAGAACTGCTGGGCCGTGACATTGACAAGAGAGAGGAAGGAGGAAATGACAAGCACAAATATATGCATAATATTTGCCAGTTGGCTGGGCTGGAGGGGGGAAATTAATTGACATGCGAACTCAATTTGCCCGAGAAAGTCAAGGATGGCGTTGCCGGAGCGCCCTGATGCGGGGACCCGGCAAGTTTTACAGGACCGACAGTGAGAGAAAGAAAGAAAAAAAAATCCAGACCTTGGAAAGCACCGAAGATGGCGCGGCGGCTTCAAACAATAATCGTATGTGGTGAGCCTGACTTATCAGACGCATCTCGGCCGGCAAACGTATGCATTACACGCGTGTGCCTACATGTATCTGCAGTCATTGCCAGGGCCGGCTTGAACGACAACACATGACAAATCACGCCCTACAGCCCCCCCTTAATCAGTGTAATTTCAATCTACACGGGAAGTCGAGCCCTCGGAGTCACATGTTTTACCCGCTATCACAAAGTTCAACAGTATAAGGAAACAGACCTGATCGCTGTAGCAAAGTGACTGGCATCGATTTTCCAAAACCTAAGACCACATTAGGTTAAGCTCTTTAATACACCTTTACGAAGTTGCACTCAGCGGCCTCTTGGTGCATATTTACATCGTTGCGTCACTCCAACCGATTGAACCACTCGCTTGTTTTATTTGCACAGTAAACATCCCAGAAATTAATTTACCCCAACAGAGTAAAAGCTACATCGTCCGCTTCAATCCCCCTACCACAGCTGCATTGAAAGAAACATACCAGAGATGACGGAAGATGGGATCGCACGAGAAGACAGTATAAACTCCAGTGTAAACTCTGTAATTACTTCATTGTGTTAACACTAAGCTGTTAATGTAAAGGATACAATAACGCCCTCCAGAGCCTTTGTTGGGAGACGCAGACGTTTGGGAGTTTTTTCTGTATTACCTGGGTTGGTCTTTCGTGAGAACCCTGTGGCGCAAACAGTCACGTAATTAATCCATTCGCGTCTGTGCAAACACTTCCCTGCCATTGCGGAATTTGAAATCCGTTCAAACCTTGTCATCTGGGGCCCGTTTGTTTCACACGGATCTGGATCTCGATCAGTAATCCTAACGCTGGTTCGCACCATCTATTATGCAGGTTTGGTGTCCGTAAACCAACGACAGATCACTGATCGTGATCCAGATCCGTCAAAAACGGCCCTTGAGTTACGTACGTTTGATGCAGTTGGAACCCATGCTCTCATGCATGCTTCGGCCACCAACCCGGAGCATGTACCTTTGACTGTGTGTGAATTCACCGTCGTCCAAACAGCCCACACGCATTATGTCCTGACATTGAGTGTAGTGTACGTTATCCAAAGTGAATGGTGGAGATGAAAGTGAATGGTGTTCAGTTTTGCGATGCCCCCCCCCACCGTGTTTGCTTTGCCGACTTCACGGACGCAGCGTGTCTTTTCACCATCGGCAATCGGCGCTGCCTTCGCATGGTGGCCACTTTGCACCCTCTCTGTAATGTTCAGTCAACTTGCACACCCTGCTAGGCCCTTTTGTTGACCAATGCCCACTTCACTGTGTCCATCTTCTTTATAGGCCTGTTTTCCCGACATGAGCCCACAAAAGGTTGGAGTGTGCGGGCCCGTTGACTCGTTAACTCGATACCCGCTTTAAGGTCTGCCGAGCCCATTTCGTTAAGCTGCACCGCACACATGCAACACAACTGGGAAATTTTGCTCGGTGAAACGGTTCGCTACCTGAAAGTCGTGTGGTGATCATGGCTCTTGTGCGACACCGACAAAACTTTTCGCTCAACGGCTCACTGAAATCTGATTGGCTCATAAATTTGCTTAGGAGCATCATGTAGCTGGCCAGTAGAAGAAAGGGATCCCTTTTGTCCGTGCTCACGTGTGCTGATGCAAATATGACATGCACACCATCGCTCAACGTTGTATCGGAAAGAAGTGACCCATTCTTAGACCAAACCCCCTACGCGCCACTGCATGGAGCTTAGCAAAATATTCCATGAAATATGAAGTACAAACGTGGTTAGGTTTCTCTTCCAGTATGTCGAAGAAATTCCCTCAAATTAGTGCTGCTCGTGAGATTTATCTTCAGGTCCGCTAATTATCCGAGACACTTACGACCTGCGCCGTCCAAAGTACCCTCCGCTGAATCGAGCATGTACGGGGGCCACCTCGACGCACCGACTCTATTTGGGTATACAAACTTCCAGTGTACAGGCCCATTAACGATGACACCTTGCAGAATGCGGAGTTTACGTTTCAGCTCAACTCTGACAACAAAAGAGGAGAAGCAGGACAAACTGGAAGCCAGGGCTTCTGATGGAATCACGGCCGGTGTTAGCCCGGGGAGCAGTGGCCCTCTAATTTAAATAAACAACCACGATTGCCCTGGCCCTGGCATTTTTTGAGGGAAGGGAAAAGCGCGTCAAGAACTTCGGGGACGGTCTTCCAGCTCATGTGATATACATGGCCACGGTGGAAACATTCGCACAATTGTATTTACCTTCCTAGCTCATAATACCATTGTTGGTGAAGTATTTCTCCTGGGATTTTTACACTTTGGGTAGAAAGGAGGGATTTGTACGGAAGATCTTACATATTGGTTTCCTCAAGGGAATGAGGGGGTTATTCTGTGAGATGTCATTTTGCTTATTGCATAAGGCTCTCTTGTAAAATGGGTTTGGAGTTGGAGCGTACACTGTTTCTGTCTCTCTTCTTGCTCCCTAAAGACAACTAACACTTTTGGGTGTTCAACCTCTCCCCAACCTCCCTACACTGCTGATGGTGTCTGCTAAAATCAAACTAATTAGATTTGTGTCAAGTTAGAGTACCCACTGTTCTCATCAATTGTTTTTTATGAGATACATGTAGCCTAGCTCCATTAAGCCGTAAATGGTTGTCTTTAGTTGTTTACTCTATACACCAAATCTTTCTAATTTTGGACAAAGTGGCAAGTGGGGTCCTCGCCAATCTGACCCCTCTCTGTCATGATTTACGCTGATAAATGTCGTCATATACGATCGTAAACTACGTACCGCTGTATCCTTTTCCATACTAGCATCGCTTGTGGGCCAAACCCCCCTAAAAATCAATAAAGGATACACAAGGCTGTGTGAACAGACGAGAAAAACAAGAGAAATGTGCAGACTCCGTGATGTCGGGGCCGCAATTGGAAGTTTTGGCACGGAGAGCAGGGCAAGCGAAGAACCACCGGTTCGGTCCATTTGCCGGAGAAAGCTAGCGGATCATGTTTGTGTAGGTAACGCGCCTCGATGTTGCGATTGTGTACCTTGGCGAGGCCCCGTGCACGTCAGAGCAAACCAACTCCGTTACAATATCGTCCAAGGTTGGAGGAGGGAAAGC